CACTCTCTATCCTATGCCGCTGCCGCCCCTGCCACCGCCATCACTGCTGCTGCTGCCACTGCCACCACTACCGAGCCCAGCTACATTCCTCAAGTACCAAGTGTTCAAAACTCACTGTAATGCTTTCAGGGCCACCATTGGCCCTATCTGAGCCACCCGTCTCTCCACAAGACCTGAATCACCTCCTCTCCTTACTCCAGCCACAGCAAAAGGAAGAACAGTCTATCAGTCTGTCCCTAGACTCCTCAAGATAGGAGTTAGAAACAACGGGGGAAGAGCCTTGAGCCTCAGAGGGATAATGATCATACCACACTCCCTAGTGTCTATAGGCAAACTTCTCAAAACTTGAAGTGGTCAAGAATACTCATGTGAGAGGATCTGCCCATGGTCACATCAGCTTCAGTACCACTTAACATTCCTCCTTACCAGCTGGAAGAGACCTCATACTGCGTAGCATTATTTCAGGGCCCTAGATGTCCCCTAACCAACTCCATACCCCATGGTCGTCCTCATCCCACCCACAGGCAGCCTTCTCACCAAAGGAAGGCAGAAGTAGCAGCTAGGATTTCCCTACCCCAACCTTGCCATTAAATCCTCAAACAGTTATACCTGTCCCCTTTGTCATTTCTGCTCCACCATCCAGGACCATGAAGGATAGACTCATTAGGGGTCTATAAAGGAACAGAACCTATTAAAATACATTTATTTGAGTTGCTTACAAGTTGCAGTCCAAGTAGTCCAACAATGCTGTTTTCTGATAGAAAGGCCAAGGATCCCATAGCTGTTCAGTCTGTGAGATTGGATATCTCAACAGCCCCAATCTCATGCTGGAGTCCCAGTTTTCAGTCTAGGTTGGAATCCTAAAGAAGTGGGTTCTAACACCAGTAAATAAGAAAGATTAACTTGCCAGCAAGAGTGAGGGCAGGCAGGCAAAAAGCAAGTTTCCTTTGTCCATGTTGTATGTGGGGTGCCACCAGGAGATATGACCAGATTTAGGGTGGGTTTTCTGACCACAAATGATCTGGATTTTAAATGGGTCTTCCACCTCAAATAATCTAACCAAGAAAAATCTCTCAGTAATATACCCAGCTTCTTGGATTTAGTTAATTACAGATGTAGTCGAGTTGATGACCAAGATTAGACCATCACGCCATGTTACCCTCTGAATTTCTACCCCACCACCTGCTCCATACTTCCCCTCCTTTCCTGCCTCTCATCATCGTTACTTCTGAGGTGTCCCACAGTGTTTCAGGCAGGAACCTGGGTCTGACCTTCAGTGTTTCTAACTTCTCCCTTGTATCTGTTTCCTTCCATCACTTGGTACCGCTCCATGGGTGTTTCTCATTGAGACTAGCCTGAAGTACAAGGGCAAATCACCCTTGCTTTTTACCTTCTACATAAATACCTCTCCCACTTTATCATTCATGTACATTAGCAAAATAGCTACCTTTACCCACACCCTGTCCCTGCCACACCCAATATTTAGGAAAGAGAGTTGATGAATTTATAAGTTTTATGAGTGACATTGAAAGAAAGGAAAAATGAATAGAAGTGTTACTCTACCCAGGCTTCTGGCCTAAGCAGCAGCTAAAGAGCCAGAAATCTAAGCTTGTTTGATCTGCCAGTTACCTTCCTCCAATAATCATAAGGTGCTTCCAAAAGTGGAAGTTCAGTGTCACCGTGCTGGATGCCAGAAACCCAAAATCAAAGTATGAGGAAGTGCTCCCTTGGGAGGCTCTAGGGAAGACCTCTCTATTTATCAGCTTCAGAGGATTCCAGAAATTCCTGGTTTGTGACTGTCTAGCTTTTGCCTCTTAGGGTACCTGTCATATTAGGATGTATGCCCATCTTACTCTGGTATGATATCAGCTAACTACACCTACAGGTACCCTTTTGTCTGGTAAGCAGCAATTTGGTTCAACACACTGCCAATGCTCCCAACAAAGACAATGGCCCTGAGCATGGCAACCTGTTGAGTCCTGGGGATATAGTAGGAAGCACCACCACCATTACCCTATACTCACGGCCTTAGTTCTAATAAGGGTGACAGGACCAATGATCAAAGGGCAGAGGCTCTATACAGTAAGCAAACCAGTGGCCTAGAAAATGGGCAGTTGAGTTCCAGGACTAGGAGGCCCTCAAGCACTCAGAAGGAGGCTAATTAAAAGAAAAACAACTTGGACTTAGCCCCTCTGTCCCCCAATTGGGAAGGCAACTTTGTTTTCAGACAGAGTTCTTACTATATTAAGCAGTTTGAGTTCAAGCAATCCTGCCTCAGCTTCCCAAGTAGCTGAGACTACAGGCATGTGTCTCTATCGCCAGCTATCCAGAGCTGCTTGTTTGAACCTTCAAGACCTCTCACTAGCCTGCTATTGAGAACTAGGTGCCCTGCTTTCCTATCCAGGATGACAATACAGTCTGGTTAGGATGGCAGGCAGGGCCTCAGACCTAAAGGATGAGCTGAGGCCCCTTCCCAGAAACTTGCAAGAAAAAAAATAAAGGCAAAAGAAACTTAAACATTGGCAAGTTTGTTCTTGCCTGTTCACTAGGGTGGCATATGGCGCTGTTGAGAAGAGTAATCCTGGTGCCACACAATCTCAGCAAATAATTTCTTTTTGAAAAAAGAGTGTGACAGAACCCAAGTTGGACTAGAGAACACACATGTCCTCTGTCTTTTAACCCTGATATAGGCAGTGACCACATCTCATCCCGTTGCTGGGAGTTCAACATCACAATCTGACATGATTCACACAAAGGCAAAGGAGATGTGGGCCCTTCTAAGTTTGTCACAGCAGCACCTCTACCTACCCCCATACTGGAGTGTTAACTGCATCCCCTGCTTTAAGTCAAAGTAGTACCTCCAGATTGTGAGAGGAGAGGCTTCACCTGCACACCAAATAGTGGGGAAAGATACTTGATAGGAGAGACACATCACAGACTTTTTTTTTCCCTTTGGTTTTTTGAGACAGGGTTCCTAACAGCCCTGGCTGTCCTGGAACTCACTTTGTAGACCAGGCTAACCTCAAACTCACAGAGATCCTCCTGCCTCTGCCCTCCTGAGTGCTGGGATTAAAGGCATGTGCCACCATCATCCAGCAACAAATCACAAACTCTTAAAAGTCCCTCTTGTTATTTACCTTAGAGTCAGAACCTGTGCCCCTGGCAGCCCTAATGAAACAGGCTCAGGCATCCATCTCAGTAAGTCAATTAAAAGAGCCAAGTTAATAATGAAAAAGGTTTATTCAATGTGGCCACATTGAAAAGAGGGGCAAACAGATCTAGTGACCTCCTTGCGAAGTCCATATTTAGGGTCCTGACATGAGGTTAATGTCTAAATTGAAGGCACACTTAAGCAGTCATGGCCAAGGTGTAATTCCACTCATTACTGATGCATCATCATTGTCTGGGTTTCAGTCTCATGCTGCAAGGTTGTCTGACAAGCTTTCTCTGGAGACAAGATCTCCCGCTGGCTGACACTGGAATTTAGCCTTTTTTTTTTTCCCAGCATGAGATTCCTGGGGGAAATTCCTATTCCCTGGGTGTCTTGTTTCAGTCTGGTAGCCAAAAGAAGGGACACAAATGTCTCTTTAGAATATTCTCTCTCTCTCTCTCTCTCTCTCTCTCTCTCTCTCACACACACACACACACACACACACACACACACACACACAAGAGAGAGAGAGAGAGAGAGAGAGAGAGAGAGAGAGAGAAATGGAAGGTCACACTGTGTAGCCATGGCTGTCCTGAAACTTGCTATGTAGACCAGGCTGGCCTCGAACTCACAGAGATCCACCTGCCTCTGCCTCAAAGTGCTGGGATTAAGGGTGTGCACATGGTTAGCCTATAGAATATTTTCATTCTTTGCAGGTATGACAGTTACACTTCTAGCCAAGATTCTCCAGAGCAGGCAGCAGGTCTCCATGGACAGGGTTAGAGGCCAGACTTTAGCACAATGAGGGCTTCCATCCTACATCCTTCTGGTGCCTATGGTCTTCTGGAGCAGGGATCACAGCAAAGGCTGAGATGGGTGAACTGATGGTGCCATTGAGATTGGGTCTGAAAGCAATAGTACATATAGTGCAAATGTGTCTACCAGCAAGTCAAAACTGCGCCATTGTCCTTAGAGGCTCAAAGCTGTGAATAAGCTGAGCTGTAGAGGCTTTCTAGCCTAGCTTCACCACTTGTACTACACAGCCCATGAGAAAGCAAGTAGATATAGCAAGAATACCTTCTTGGGGACAGGGCACAAAGTGCAAGTGAAACCTCAATACCACCTCCATAACTCTCATGATTATCATTCTGACCACCATGCTTAAGAGAAAGGACCACAGTTTCTCTTTAATCCCATGATACAGAGAAGCTTTCTCTTGACTCCTGGTACAGCAGCCATGTGACTACAATGAGTGGACAAAGATTTACAAAAGGCTAGTGATGATGTAAATAAAGTCTGTCAACCCCAAAATGGCAGAATCTTGCCCAGATTTCCCTACACCTTCTTCCATACAACACCAAGGGGCACCAGCCCCGTGCCTGCTCCTGGGAAAGCGCACTTTAAATCCTCAACCAATTTGATGGGTAGTGCTGGGTTTTGGTTAGTATTTGCCTGAGGATGGTATTAAAGCTTAGGGAAAGGGAAAGCAGACAATGACTCAAGAAGATGGTCCTGACCATGCAGAGGCCCTTTGTGCTTAGAAGTACTGTTGCAAACCCTTAGATTGCACTCCAAGTCCAACTTTTATAGACTGCAAAGATGTAGCAGAGTAGACTGTAAGAGATGTAGGGAATCTGCCTGCATAGCATCTCTGAAGCAGAGGTTCTTATACAGGGGCAGCACAGGGAGTCTAAAGTACAGAAGGGACATGAAAGTGACTGAGTGAGCATGAGGAAGGACTGAGGAGACCAATCTGATCACACAAACACACACACACACACATACACACACACACGTGCACTGGAACAGAAGCCAAGACTCTAGTGAGGACATTCTGCTGTTACCTTACCTCTTGGCCTTATATAAGGGACAGAGATGAGGGTCCTGATGAGAACATTCAGCTGTAAGCTCCATGAACCTACAATGGGTAAGAGGCATGTGATCCTCAGTAAACATATTCACGGGTCACTTCAGCTCTGAATACCTACACGGAAGCACAATCATGAGGGACCAAGTGAGCACAGTCAATTGATGGGAGGTTTAAGATTCCCATGAATTAAGGGTCAGCTCAGCTATGGGAGCCCATATATGAAAAACGACAGATATGCTGAGAAGAGTCATCCATCACCTTAGTTATTTTTAAATATATATACTTTTTATTTATGTATATGTATCTGTAGGTGCACATGGAGGTCAGAAGAGGGTGTCAAATGCCCTGTAGCTGTGAGCTGCCTGATATGGTTGCTGACAACCAAACTCAGGTCCTTTGCAAGATCAGCAAGCACACGTAAACACTAAGCAATTTCTCCAGTACATTACCTTAGTTCTGGTACCAGCATTGGTGCTGAGATTCGTGGCCTAATCTGAGGAGTTCAACTAACAAAGAATCTCTGTATGCCTACACTGATTAAAATCAGGAACTTCTAGGTGGGACAGTCAACTGTCAACCTTAGGTGTTTGTAGCTGCCCTAGAATAGGGGGCTACAACACTGTCTGTCTCTGGATGAGCAGACTAAGGTAGTGCATGAAGGCCCAAATGGAGTTAGTTGCCTTTCACCTAGGCTCCTGGGTCCTAACACAGAGAGGCACAAGAAAGAGATGAGGACATTCAGCTAATCATGCAGATGTGAGTCTCTAGTGAAGAACAAATATACAATAGGCCAACAGCACTCCAGAACTGAGAGGTACAATGAGGGTGTTGCAGGAATCTTTCTGGAATAAGCACACTGTCACCAATGAGAGTAGAAGAGAGATATCATCAGTAGAGTAAAGCCAGGATAGCTCCTGAGAAGCTTCAATGCTGGGTCTAATTTGTATTCTCGTTTTATACTCTAAAAACACAAGGTGGGATAGGCAAGTAAGCAGAATTTAAAGAAGCCTTTGTGGCAGTCAGCAGTTTGTTAAGGGCAATGACCCATTGGTTTCAGCTATTTATCCATGTCATTCTGTTCCAGGTAGCAAGTAAAGTCATGTTTGGCAAATAGGCATTACAAGCAGTGCTTTAAGTAAATCGCTAAATAAATCAGTAAATCAATGTCTAATAATTTGTCTTTTCTAACTTATTCTACTTCGGGGGCATGACAGTGAAGCTCAGAAGACAGCAAAGGCCACCTCAGCTCCATATAGACACACAAATCAGAAATTGAGGTCCAAATGATGACATTCAAGTGAAATTCAAGGTCCTGGTCCCTATACTGGAGAGAATGATGGAATGGGTAAAGTTCTTCAGCTGCCACTTCAACTCTTAGGACACAAAACATAGATGGGGACTCTCAAATGTCACCTATGATCTTGAATATACAGCAAGGTGGACACCAGCCTGAGAAATATAAGTACCACATCTCAAAACTTAATATGAAGAATGGAAATTTGACATAAAGGTAATTCACTTTACTAGGTCTCAGACTTTCATAAACACTGAAGAAAATTGGCAATTAAAAATAAAATTGGGGGCGCTGGAGAGATGGCTCAGCAGTTAAGAGCATTGCCTGCTCTTCCAAATGTCCTGAGTTCAATTCCCAGCAACCACATGGTGGCTCACAACCATCTATAATGAGATCTGGTGCCCTCTTCTGTACTGCAGTCATACATACAGACAGAATATTGTATACATAATAAATAAATAAATAAATAAAATTTTAAAAAAATAAATAAAATAAAATAAAATAAAATTGGGGCTAGGGAGATTGCTCAGTGGTTAAGAACACTGGCTGCTCTTCTAAAGGACCTGGGTTCAATTCCCAGCACCAACATGACGGCTCATAACTGCCTGTAACTCCTGTTTCAGGGGATCTGACACCTTCACACAGACACAAACACAGGCAAAACATGAATGCAATGAAATAAAAATAAATGAATTTAGCCTGGTAGTGGTGGTTGCACACCTTTAATCCCAGCACTTGGGAAGCAGAGGTGGCAGGCAGATCTCAATGAATTCAAGGTCAGTCTGGTCTACAGAGCTAGTTCCAAGCCAGGCTCCAAAGGTACATGGAGAAACCATGTCTTGAAAAAAAAATTCATTTTAAATAAATAAATAAATAAATAAAAGTAGCCAGACAGTGGTGTCACACACCTTTAATCCCAGCACTCAAGAGGCAGAGGCAGAGGCAGGCAGATGTCTGTGAGTTTGAGGCCAGACTGGTCTACAGAGTGAGTGCCAGGACACCCAAGACTAGGAAAAAAACATTTCTTGAAAAACATAGTAGAGGCTTTTATTTAATGATTGTTTGGTTTTTTTAACTGCATATTCTCAGTGTAGTTTGTTTTGTTTTGTTGCAGTTATTTTTGAAACAGGATTTCATATAGCCAGGCTGGCCTCAAACTTACTTTGTAATGGAAGATGTCCTTGAACTTCTGATCCTCCTACAGCACGCTTGAGCTGTGTGTGGTTCTCGACCTGTGGGTCACAACAGTAGCAAAATTATAATTATGAAGTAACAACAAAAATAACTTTATGGTTGGGGGTCACCACAACATGAGCAACTGTATTGAAGGGTCACAGCATTAGAAAGGTTGAGAACTAATTGCTCTTGAGTGTGGTACCATGCCCAGGTTTTTCTTGTTTGTTTTTTGGAAGGCTTTGTTGGTTTGTTTGTTTGTTTGGTTGGTTGGTTGGTTGGTTGGTTGGTTGATTTGGTTGGGAGGACTTGGGCTTCATGAGACCCAGTCTCAAAATAATAAACAAAAAGTACAAGGGCTTGTAAGTAGCTTGTTTCCTTCATTCTGTGTAAATGTGGATATGTGGTACTGAGACCATAAGTAGGGGGCCAAGGAGCCTGCACTGGAGGAGTCTGTTATTCATGGCCTATCAGAATGTCCCACAAGAATCTCTAAAATGAGCTAAGCAACAATTCCTAGCCAGGGTATAAATGTTTCAGAATCTCATACCAAGTAAAATTGGCTGGCTCATCAGATAAAGTCACTTGAATCAAATGCAAGCCTGAGAGCATAGCACAAGCACAGTGACCCAAGTTCAATATCTGGAACTCATCATGAAAGACAGAAGGAAACCACTGATTCCACAAAAGTTGTATTCTTACCTTCACATGTATATTATAGCATGCAAACACCCACTTAGACACATATCATACATGCACACAATAAAAAATTTTAAGTGCCCAGCTGAAGAATCAGCCCTGGTGACTCAGACCTGTAATTTCATCACTCAGTAAACAGATTTCTGAGGATTACCAAAGTTCTAGTCCAGCCTAGATTACATAGTAAATTCTAAGTTAACCTAGGCTACAGTAGAGAAACAACCTGTCTGAAAACAAAAAGAAACTAACAAAATAACCATCTGAGTGCAGTGTTTTAAACCAGCAATCTTGGCACTATGGAGGCAGAGACAAGATCAATAGAACAAGGTCAGTCTGAACTACATTCAAGACCTTGTCTCAAAAAAACTGAGGACAGAACCAGTGAGATGGCTCAGTGGCTATAGGCACCTCTTGCCAAGACTGATAACCCAAATTTGATCTCTGAAACCCAGATGGAAGAGAAAAAACGAACTCCCTCAGCTTGTCCTCTAATTTCTGAATGCACTCTGTGGCATGTACAGGCCTGTACGCACCCCACACAATACGTCAATTCAGAAAATAAAATTCAAAAAGAATTTTAAAAAACTAAGAGTGGCTTAGAACTTAACTAAAATTTACCTAGCATGCCCATCCATGACTCTGGGTTAGATCCCTGGCTCTGAAAAAAATAAAAGGTTAGCCCTCTGGTTAAAAAATCAGAGAGGGTGGTGATGGCTTATACCTTTAATCCTAGCACTTGGGAGGCAGAGACAGGCAGATCTCCGTGAATTTGAGGCCAACCTGGACTACAGAGTGAGTTCCAGAACAGCCAAGGTTACACAGAGAAACCCTGTCTCAAAAAACAAACAAAATTAGCGAGACCTGGGTTTGTTCTTTAATGCCTTTAATCCCAGCACTCAAGAACCACACAGATCTCTATCAGTTCAAGGACAGCCTGGTCTACATAGCAAATTCCAGGTCAACCTTGTCTCAAAAAAAGGTTTTTTTTAATAGAGGGAAAATGTCATTAAACATAGAAAAATAATGGTTTTGGTGTCTGTTGTTTGTTGTACTATCTATTGAACCAAGGATAACATGCTTAGCCCTTTTTATTTTGTGTTTTGCTATATAGCTCCAACTGTCCAGAAATTCACCTGGCCTTTGCCTCTCAAATGCTGGGATTAAAGAATTGTGCCACCATGCCCAGCCCCCTCCTTACTTTTTTCTTCTACACATGATCTCATTAAATTGCCCAGGCTGGCACTAAACTTGTTATCCTCCCACCTTAGCCACCTAAGTAGCTCTTATTATTGGCCTGGCTAGAAAAGACTGTTTCTAAAACTAAGAAGAGTACCAGGTGGGACTGGAGAGATGGTTCAGCAGTTAAGAGCACTGCTGTCCTTCCAGATGACCAGGTTCAGTTCCCAGCATCCATATGACAGCTCACAATTGTCTGTAGCTCCAGTTCTAGGGGGTCTGATAACCTCACACAGACACACATACAGTCAAAACACCAATGTACATAAAATAAATCACTAAAACCAATGCACATAAATTAAAAATAAATGTTTTTAGAAGTACCAGGCACACCTGTAATCCCATCACTCTGGGGGTCAAAGCAGGAGAATTAATGCAAGTTTGAAACTAGCCTGGTCTACACAGAGAGTTCTAGGCCAGCCAGGGCTATAGTGAGAACGTGTTACAAAAACAAGAACAGAGTCAGTGAAAGGGCTCAGCAGATAAATATGTGCCTACTGCCAAGTTTGATTACCTGAATCCAATTCATGCGCCCCACGTGTTAGAAAGAACTAACTCCTACATGTTGCCCTCAGACCTCCACATGAGGGTGGTGGCACTCAAGTGCATGTACACACACACACACACACACACACACACACACACCACAAGATAGATAGATGATAGGTAGATGGATAGATAGATAAAATATAATAAAATGTTTTTAAGCAGGTGCATGCCATGAGCCATGCTGGGTACATGGTCCTGCTGCAGTTGGGAGCCATGTTGATACTCATGGCCCATGTTACCACCAAAGGTTATCCAGATATCTGTAGCCTATGCTGCCACCTAAAGTCATGTTGGTATCTGTCAGTCATGTTGCTGCCAGAGACCATATTGATGTGAGTGACCTTGGATGATACCCAAGACCTGTTGATGTCTGTGGTCCATTGCTGCCACAGAGGGCTGTTGTTGTTGTTTTTAACTCTTTATTCTTTTGTTCTTTGTGGGGGCCATCACCCAGTTCCCAAATAAATACACACAATGTTTTATTCTTTCTTATGAATGCCAGACCTTAGCTTGGCTTATTTGTGGAGGGCCGAAATTATGAGCCTATTTCCACGGTGATCAAAGGTCAGAGAGTGGGAACTTACAAGGTTATTGTGCTTCTACCTCAAACAAAGGCCCCACCAAGCTGTTGACCTGAGAGTTCTGCTCTCTCAAGGTTATTGCTAACACCTGTGGCTAATAGCCAGCCCTTATACTCCAAGAATAAAGAAGTAGATCTGTTCCTACCTCAAACAAGTCTAAGAATCCAACTAAGTTCCAGTTCCCTTTATGGAAATAACTTGGGATTCCAACCAGGGAGTGGTTTGCCTACAGAGTGTTTTGGTGTAGGGCGTGAGTGTGACTTGGTGACTTGTTTTGTTCTAGCAACAGAATGCCTAACTATGAATGTAGCCTGTGACTTTCAATTGGCCTGTTCATTTCCTTGTACCATGTTATTTGCAGTCTCTTGTTTTACTACCTTTTGGGGTCAGGGGTATTTTAAGCAGTTGGAAATTAAACACGGGAGAATTTTTAGTACTGACTGAAAAATTCCCTCCCAATACTACCCTATATATTTCTCCATTTTATTATTTTCATTTGCATCTTCATATGCTTTACTATATTTCTAAATCCCCACGCCCTTAACCTGGCAAGAGATATTTTTGTCGAGGTTGGTCCCCAGACACTTGTTCCTAGTCAGCTTTCCTTAACTTAAATTCTACCTTTTGCCTCTAGGTTTTTTCATTTTCTCACTTCTGCTTTGTCTTACTTTTTTCCCTTTCCTTTAAAATATATTCTTTTTTATTTATTTATTAAAAATTTCCACCTCCTCCCCGCCTCCCTTTTCCCTTCTCTCCCCCACCTCCCCCTCCCTCTCTAGTCCTAAGAGCAGTCAGGGTTCCCTGCCCTGTGGGAAGTTCAAGGTCCTCCCCTCTCCATCCAAGTCTAGGAAGGTGAGCATTCAAACAGACTAGGCTCCCACAAAGCCAGTTCATGCAGTAGAACCAAAACTCAGTGCCATTGTCCTTGGCTTCTCAGTCAGTCCTCATTGTCAGCCACATTCAGAGTCCGGTTTGATGTCTTACTTTCACTCTTACCTTATGACTGGCTGTGTGGTAGGGGTGATGGCTACTAGCATCCTCTCCTTGTTCTCTTGCTCCTTGTCCCATGCCTTGATTCCTATTCTCTTTCTCTCCTGTTTATTCTCTCTGTTTGCTAGCCCCACGTATCCTTTCTCCTGCCTTGCTCTTAGCCATTCAGCTCTTTATTAGACCAATCAGATGTTTTAGACAGGCAAAGTAACATAGCTTCACAGATTTAAACAAATGCAACATAAAAGATGCATCACATTTTTGCATCATCAAACAAAGGTTCCATAGCATAAACAAATGTAACATACCTTAAAATAATATTTTACAACAGGGGATCACAAGGATGAGGGAAGACCTGGAAGGACTGGGAAGTGAGTTTGATAGGGGTGTGTGATCCTTAACTACATACCAAGTTCTAAAGCTAGACTGGCTTACAAAGAGATATCTTTTGTGCACAATCTCTCTCTTCACTTGGAATGGTATTATTATTATTTTGTTATTGTTTTTTTGAGACCGTTTCTCTGTGTAGCCCTGGTTGTCCTGGAACTAGCTCTGTAGATCAGACCATTCTCAAACTCACAGATCCATCTGCCTCTGCCTTCTGAGTGCTGGTATTAAAGGCATGCGCCACCACACTCAACTAATTATTATTTGTTTATTTAATGTCACAGATACAGAAAGCAAATCAAGGGGTTGCCAGAACTATACTTTGATAGAGACAGAGAGATAATAAGCATGTAACTTCTGTTTCAGATGATGAAAATACTCTGGAATTAGATCTAGATAGTGGTTTCACAACACATAAATGTCCCAAATACCACAAATTCTACACTTTAAAAGGGAAAAGTTATGACATATTAATGAAATATTTAATAAAGCTGTTGTTTACTAAGGAAAAGGCTAGATTTCTGCCCTCCTCAAAAATGAAAATTTGGGTCTGGAGAAATGACTTAATTGGTTAAGAACATTGGTTGATCTTCAAAATGGTTGGATTCCAATTCTCA